GCGACATACCTGTTGATCAGCAATAACAACAATAACAATTCTGAGCGGAGCGAGGAATGTATTGATTTTACCATAATGTGTGTGTGTGTGTGTTTTTTTTTAGTGTCTGTCATCACGTTTTGGGCCAGTAAAAGTGTTTTGATTTTCGACTTCAGTACCTCGTTCGATCAGAAAGTTGGTACTTTGGGGAGAGAGGGGGTTCAAAAGTAAAAAATTTCTCAAAATTTTTCTAAATAATCAGGATAAACAAACTAAAAATTAAGAGAAAAACGGGAAATGTTACACACAATCAGTTTTCGAATTTGGTTTTTGATGTACCTAACTTTAAAACAAATGACCGAATGTTTATATAAGTAAATTCTATCCACTATGCAATCTTCAAAAATTTTCGACTTAAGTTAGTCTATTCATAGGTATTTGCAATTTTTGATCATTATTAGTTTTTTTTTATATTAATATCGATAAAAATRTATTTGTTGGGTAGAACAGCTTGAAAATTTAATACAAGGTTACCTAACATATTTTCACAATATCACTAATAGCAGTAGAAAAATTAAAGAAATACATATTCACAATTTTATTTTTACAAGGATTCAAATTTTAATTTTGACAACATACGTAAAAATCACGAAAATTTGTAAATTATTTTAAGCTAGAAATTCCTAAAAAAATTTCTTTTTTAATCTAAGATTTAATAAAAAGCAAATTAAAAAAAAATCTGAGATTTGAAAGTTTTTAATAATCTATAATATATCCTAGACAGATAAACCGTCTCCTCTCAAAATTGTTTTTCGTATAGGTACAATGATATATCATTAGTATTTGGGTGTGCTGTAGTCCCTAAGCTCCTATTTGCGCCTTTGGTTGCACTTTTGCAAGTCGGAGACAACATAATATAATGAGAGCATAATATGAGAGCGTAGGGTCTTGTTAAGGTTTTACTTTTACGGCTTAATGAACACTTACATCAATTATCGCTATCTCCATTTAAAATTCTTATGCGTGCTATGGACATTTTACATTCTACAATACTATATACAACATACATCATAATTTTTTTGCTAGTCATCCACGAAAAAGGTTAGATACTAATTTTTTTTATAAGTAGTATGTTTTAAAAATCCATGAAGTCATAATTTTTTTTTAAAACCGATTATTATAATAATTACGGTAACCTTCATTTTACCAGTGATGTTATTTTGGAAAATTTACGTTTAAAAATAAAATAAGAATATAAATTGCAATGCTTATTTTATTCATACTGAAAAGTTAGAAAAAACGAGTTACGACCTTTTTCCTTGGGGGCAGTCGATATATAAAATCCTAACCACATTGAATTTAACCAAAGTCCACACATATTAAATCCAATTTTATTTATAATATAATACGAGTACAATAATTTAGTTGTTACGTTTAAATTCTGTAATTAACACAARGCTTCTTGCCAACGACCATACCACGTTGAATACACCAGTTCTCGTCCGATCACTGAAGTTAAGCAACGTCGGGCGTAGTTAGTACTTGGATGGGTGACCGCTTGGGAACACTGCGTGCCGTTGGCATTTTTTTGTTTTTTATCATTGCAGCTCGCGTAATTACAAGGCACAGTTATTTTACTTTTATTTAAATCCTTTTCAACACCAGTGTCCAGTAGACAAACGCCTATCAAAAAATCAAACATATTTTTAACTAACAAACTAACTAACTTAAGATATTTCTATTAAATTTGTTTAATTTGTGTGAAATACCTTATTTTACATTGTCGGCTTGTTAAACAAGTTTGATTGATCAATTTTTTTGCTAATGACAGACATTTTGAATTCAATTCTATTGCTAAATAACTTTTAGTAAAAAATAAATTATATAATATCCAATATTTATATATTATACATTTTGATGTTTATATATTGTTTCTATGGTAATAGATTCTTTTCAGCTGACTAATATTTAAGTTACTGTTTTAAGTTTTAATATTATAAATTATTATATAATATATATATATATTGTATGATTTTTGTTTTATTTTACATTTTAGTTTCATGTACAGCTGCGCGACTATATTGGTTGTCGTCGTCTTATCGCGCCGATCGACCAAATACGCACCACGCTACACAAAATTATTATCTATTGTCTATATTATATATATATATATAGGAAATTTCATATAATATGCAGGCATRCAGAATATTAATCGATATTCAGTTTTTTATATAAGCAGCATATTATCTACATTTACCTATACTGCATTTTTAGCTGTATATTTCTCTAATTTCACACAATTCTAAATTAATACCTAGTTATAATAGTTAATTAACGCACAGAGCTAGACACAGAGAATATTGCTAGACATACACACGCACATTTCGTCCTATGTATTATATATTTAGGTTAGGGGTTATGTAATTTATTATTGTTATTATTATTATTATTTATTCGTATAAATACAATCATATGTGTCCATAATATGTATAAAATATATTTCAATGTATGTAATATTGAACGATCGCTTACGAGTGTCGCTGCAAATCTGCAATACACAATATGACCATTATTATAGGCTATGATTTAACACATTAAACTGGTTACGACCTGGCAAGACGGTGGAGATCAGCCGTGCAGGGAACAACTTTAACGAAGCCATGAAGCGCCTGTGTTATTCGACGTCATCAACAACAGTGTTGCTGATTGATTAATTGATTAGTATTAATTAATATTTTATTATATACAGTTTTAATTTTTTCATATGGGGCCTACCACAAGTTGAATTTTGATGACTGACCCTCAAATTCATTTTTACACGCTCGAACACAGTTTTTATTTTGACGACCTGTTTAGAATACTTTTCTGGTGATACGTACTTTTGAACACATTGCTGCAAATCACATGGCGAAATACTTCAACAGACATTTTCAATTGCATCCACGACTAGTGTTGGTGCAATGTACTTGTATCTCGAATTAAAAAACACCCAAGCCCTATTGAAGAACGAAATAGAACAGAGGTACAACAAAATATCCGAGAACAAAGAAACGAAATGGGATCCTAATTGGGAGTGTTTTAATAATATTATTACTTTATTAGGTATCTTTTAAATTAATGCCGTACGCGTGCGAGTTTTACAGAGATACAATTTATACATGTGTGTATTGTGTAAACACATTTATATTATATTAAAATTTGTTATTTATACCAAACACAGCCGGCCGACGTTTTCTATTTTTAGCAAATGTYTAACGTCGGACGGACACGCATCCACGTATAATTTCAATGTTATAATAACTGTACGCAATGCCCGTCTTAGTTTTTATTGTAAGTATACTTCTACTAAATTATCTAATATAACGACAAAATCGTGTGTTCGACATATTTTATAATTTTACAGCAACCATGACTACATAAATATCGATTCTTATATATATTGTCTAGCCCCAAAAAATTGGTGAGAAAAATTTAATTTTTATATAGTAATAATAATATATAATAACSWTAAAGCCGTGAAAATAATATGCAGTGGATGGGTTGGAGACTAGGAAATATAATTCGAAAACATTATGTGTTGCTCCGTTTTTCCTAGAGCTCATAACCTATTGATATGACCAAATTCAAAGTGGTAATTTTATAAAATATTCAAAAAGTGCAATCAAAACAAAATGTTAAAACTTATAATTATTATAAACAACGGTCTTTCAACAGACGGCTCGGTGCCTTTGCCCTCGCTCAAAATGTCAGTGATATAATTCCATAGTAAATGCTTATAGTGCTTATATGTATATATGATATATCGGTATATGTATAATGTATACTTTGGCATTTTCGTTTGGCGTGGCTTATTGACTATCGTTATAAATGTTATGTTATGAATGTTATGATATTATTATTATTACTTGCCTACTTAGTTTCTAACTWTGTTGTATTTGCTCTGTTTTTTTACCAATTAGATTTCTAAAATTTATTGCTATTGTACACATGACCATTCCTTAACGGCTAAACGGCCTTAACAAATAAAATATCAACATTTTTTAGAGCACTTATATTTTTTGTGTATTAATAATAATTGTTTGATTTAAAGCAATTTTTTTTATCTTACAATTTTTAAGGTTTTTTTGATAATTTTTTCAAATTTTTATTTAGTATTCAGGTAAAGTTGATGTTTCATAAGATATACATTTTATGCTTTTGGATTGACCAAGGTCTGTCTAAYACTATAATACAATTATCATACTTCCTGTTTGTTTTGTAATAATATGCTAAGAGGTACGGACCAAACGAGATGTACTATAAACCAAGACGTAGGGAAGAAAATGAGAAATTCAAATTTAATAGATAATTTAATAATTTATATTTTTTATAGTTATTATTTATTCTCAAGAATGATACTGTAAATATTTAATTTCAGATTTAAAAGCAGAATACGACAAATTAAAACACTTAAATAGATCACCTGTATGTTAAGGATTTAATATTGTGGGCATATTCTAGACATTGCTTTTACAATATTACACTTAACTAAGATCGATGTTGATCCAGTGGCGGTCAAATGGTTTTTTCTTGGAGGGGGGCTGATTTTTTATCATTCGTTATTTGATCATCAAAAATATTATATATGGTTATCAGATTTTACTTTATCGGAATTATCGGATTATCGGAAAAAAGGTGATAMGGAAGATATCCCACGGCCCGTTAGATCACCACTTGTTGAGCCCTTAATGGGGGTGGTGGTTGTTATAAATTATTAAACGGTACGCATGCTATTTCACTATTACATAATATTATTCGTAAAATCGTAATCGTAAACCACAGTCGAGTCACGACGACCACTTGCCGGGATCGTCGCGCCGCACGTGTTGCTGACGCTGGCACGCGTCGCCATCGGTGGTGCAGCCTGCAGTCTCGAGTCCACAAGTCGCCGGTTTTTATTTTTAAACACTGACCACCAGCCCCCGCCCCTCCGGCCGCCGTACGAGGGCCGCGCGTATAAATACTGAAATGACTGCGACGACGACGTCGCCGCCGCCGATGACGGTGTTGTACGCGGTGCCCCGCGGGTGTTTACAGCGCGCGCGTGTTCGTGCACCGCAGTAGTTGTACAACCCAACACGGTGTCGTCTGTCGACGGGCCCACTGCGAAACGTGCCCCGCACGCGACTACGCCAAACGCACCACCACCACCACCGACCGACCGATAACGAGAMAATATTGATATTAATTCAATATCCTAATATTTTGTCGGTGCCCCGTGGCGAAGATGCGGTGGCGCTCAGCAGAGCTGTAGCAGCAGTGAGCTTTTCCAGCGGTCTACGAACTACCCGAAGCGAGCGAACCATCGACTGACACTTCGCCTACCACGAATCACGGTGAGATGTCAGTTTTTATAACATTTTTATAGTTATTACTGCAATGTCACTATTATACCGAATGCTGCATTAGACGGTCGAGTACGATAAGAAAACCGTTTGATCGCGTTTGTGTAATATTTTGCTCTGCCCGAACACGTTTCTATCTAATATCGACCGATGTAGTGTAAATCGCAACATCTTGTCAGCAACTTTACAAAAATATTTTTTTTATTATTTTTTCCACGTTATTCCTACGGTTTTTCGTGGTTTACGATAAGCGAATCACATCCTGTACCTATTTATAATCGGCTAGTATTTCATCTGCAGTTGTTGACATAACGCTTCGGTGGTTTTCCGTTTCTGTTTAGGCCGCAACGAAGATTAATGTAGATCAGTTGTAATAATTAACGAGACCGTAACTCTTAAGAATTTTGGGCATGACATTTTTTT